ACCAAGAAAATATTTATTTGCTACTTAGCAAATTTAAAATAATTTACAAAAACAACTGGTTTGATATTCAACTGACCAGTAACTTTGTAGATTTCATACATTTTGAATATCCAGTTTCCTTTCATTTGTCATCAAAGGGAGAGATTTATTCCCCTGAATCCGCGCAAGCACCTGGCATACTTGTCGTATGAGTAATTTTACAAAGTATTTTTTACTGACGTTTGTACATTGTGTTATGCATTCTGGAAAATGCACTTGGTAGTTAATATCGGTAAATTTCTGCGAATATTTAATTATACTTAACCAAAAAATGCGCCCCAACAGTCAATTGTTAAAGTCTCTAAGGGGGTTAATTTTTATTGACAAAGAGTTGTTTTATTTACATTTGCCGGGCAATTATTGCAAATACACAAAAAGAATGCAACTTATTACCACATCACGTCACATCGTCGGAAAGGATATGAAATATGTGGAGAAAAAAAGAAGTGTAGAGGAGAAAATGCCATGAAATTGAGTTAATTAAAAGGGAATCCACTGTGCACCGCCCACACATATTCTCACAGCCACGCACACAGGCACACATAGACAGGCAAACGGCATGAAAATGCGGTAAAAAAGCAAGAAGCAGAGTGCACAGCAGAGAGATGAATATAAAATATTTGGTTAATAATGCACACACAGAGGCATGTCGTTGCAATTCGCTCAAAAGTGTGTGTGTGCATATGTACATAGGTATGTTTGGCCATATGTGTGCAGTTCATAACGGCAAATGGACGGGGCATTGTTGAAATTGTTGAAATTTGGTGGAAAAATATGCTATGCTCTCTGCTACGGGCGCTTTAAAATGCATTCAAGTGCAAGTGCCGCAAATGCAGTTCACTTCGCTGAATCGATAGAGAGCGAGGTGGGTGGTGTAGATCGACCCCCCCACGCCCACACCTTACCTAGATGGCCACCTACCTAACTACTGCCATGAACAATTGCAACATTTTGGCAAAAGTCGAAGGAAGAAGCAGCCGAAGAAGACGTCCACCCTCCCGCTCGCACCTTCGCCCAAACCCTCACTCCTCCGCCTGCGTCGGAGCGAGACAACTGTAGTGTACTTCAGACCTGGCGTGATGTATAATTCGCACAAGGCGCAAACAATTCATTTCGGGCGAGAGAGAGAGCGAAAGAGTGGCGGCGAGCAGAGAGATAAGAGCAGGAGCAAGCTCAAGTCTCCGCCCCAAAGAGGTTGAACCCCTTGCTCTCAGGAAACCGGTTTATTTCCAGAGTGTGTGCGTGTGTGTGAGAGTGAGCAACACAGTGGCTGCGGCAGACATCTTTTGCCAAGGGTTGGACTTTTGCCGCAGGACTCGCAGCTGACCTTAAGCTTTACCCCCTTTACCTTCCCCGCACCCCTGCCAAAAACTATGTGCGTGTACCGCCGTAAAGAGGCGTAATTAAAACCTAAGTGGGTGGGGGAGGGGGACGCAAGATGGGGTGTAATGTCGGTGGGGCATGCAACCGCCAGGTCGCTCCTAAATACTTTCACCAACTATGCCATGTTGTCATAATTCTTCATCCACCTATAAAGCACACACCCGAAAAACCACACATAGGCAAGAATAAAAAAAAGGGGGAAGAATAACGAAAAGTGCATGAAATATGCGCCCTGTTATTGCTAATACGCATTCCAGTTGCAGTTTTCGGCTTAAACCCAGCGAAACTCACAATGGAGTGGAATGCCACTGTCGTTGCTGCCGGCATGTCAAAGTGAATAACTCAATAGCCATATTGGGTGTCCACCTGTGCGAGAGAGAGAGAGGGAGAGAGAGACAGAGGGAGAGCGGAAGAGCGGGTGAGTGGCAGGTCCATCCATCAGAAAGGGGGGTTGGGGATCGAAAGAGCGGGGAGCACTTGCAATTCCACGTAAATCCACTCGATGAGAGCACTTACATGAGCTTGCGTTTGTCACACACTCAAACTCTCACACACACAGTAGCACACTCGTACCAATGGCCGTTAAAATTCTTGACAACCCGATATGGTAATGATAATTTCGCACATTGAGCCGCAATTTACACTTCTGCGGAATAAAACAAAAGCAAAGTCCGAGGCAATCGCCAATCCACAGCCATTTACAGAGCACTCGATAAATACGGGTATCCAGTGTCCAAGTATCCAATAGTCAGTACGGCTGCATTACAGTATTGCCACCCAACTGGTAAGCCATCAGCCATCCGGGGAATCCCATTTGATCCCGGGAATGCATCGGGGACACGCGCAGCGCATAATCTTTAATTAGCAATGACCACAAACGCCCAGCTGAGCAATGCGAAAATGCCAACTGAATAGAAAAGAAAGAGAAAAGAAAAACCAGCAGCGGCGGTAGCTAGCAAACAAATATGCAAAATATTATGACACACACGGAAAGATGCACGGAAAACAACAATGTACCTAAAAGGTTGATAGCCGCAATATCCCTACAATGCTTATAAAGTTTAAAAAACGGGAACATTTTTGGTGAATCCGATTTCTATTAGTCAAGTTATGATTTATAAAAAGGTGACCCCGATCTATGCATCTGCCCTTATATTTCGGGTCTTAAAGTGCGATATCTTAAAAAGTTTACGTTTTTTTTGGATTTCTGATTTTGTGTCGAGCTTGAAGAAATTTATTAATCAACCTTTTTTCTAATCTATATTTTACAGCTCAAATGATATTATGATATCGGAAGATAGGCAAATTATGATGTACAAAAAAGTGTTTGAACGTATCGTGGATGTAATGGCAATCAAAATCCTTATCTATCACTTACCAGTTTTTCCTGCAAAAGATAAGGTACAATCTAGATTAAACTGATGAAAGATCATATCCATATCAAGTCTTGAAACTCTTAAAGCAATTTATTATTAGCAATACCCCTAATTAAAGAGAGCTTAATTTTTTTAGTTAAACATAAATCACTATGGACGGCAGTCCATGTAGTGACGAAGCGCACCAGGAGAGTGTGCGAAGGCGACTACTATATATACACGAAGAAATGAAAATCTACTGTGATGGTCCGATCATAATGAATGATACACCTATCGAAAGGTATTGCAAAAACTTAAAGGATTGCATACCAAGACTTTAGGAAAATCAATTGGCTTGGGAGAGAGAGCGGGGAAAGTGAAAAAGTTAAAATTTCGAAATTTGGAGCTGTTGGGGCCGGTGGGGATAAATGCCCCCTCGCAATGTTTTAGTTGTATTCCTTTTGAAAATACCCGTCGAATGAGGGGTCATTTGTCAAAATCCGACGCTCCGTTCAAAAGTTATAGCCAAAATAAGATTTTCTTCTTCTTCCCAAAATGAAAATTTAATTCTGTTTGTCCACTTGTCCACTTGTCCACTTGTCCACTTGTCCAAAATATGTTTTTTAAGTTCTGAAAATTTGATATGACGTTCATCACATCGATATAAAAAACTTTTGGTCTACCACTTTTGGAAAAACTAGCTAGTTTAGCGGGAAAACAGCTATAAATAGCTAAAATTCGGAAAGCCGTAACTTCTATACTACTAAAGCTACAGACTTGTGCTGCATCTCGTTTGAAAGGTATTTTTAAATGCTATAAACGCCTTCTATATGCAATTTGAGTAAATGTAATAGTTAAAAAGATATGAACAAAATAAAATTTGTTTAAACTTTTTTTTAGCTTTTTTTAATTTTCTCAAAAACGGCTCTAACGATTTTCGTTACAACTTTAAACTGTATAGCCCTTGAGATTCCTTAAATTTTGGTATATAACACATTACTGTAAAAAGTCACGTTTAAAAGTTATTTTTATACGAAAATAGCCACTTTTGCCAGCTCGAACAATTAACGCTCCCTGAGTATTGAATTTTGTGGGAGGGTATCCGAACTGTATTTTAGGGTCATGGAATCAGTAAATTTGCACTTAAGAGTTCCATATAGGAATCTTTTGTTCTACGACTTTTGGAAAAAGCCGCTACTTTAGCGGGAAAAAGCTAAAAATAGCTAAATTTCTTTAGTTTGTAAGTTCTACACTACTAAAGGTACAGACATGTGCTATACCTCGTTTAAAAGGTATTTTAAAATACTTCAACGCCTTTTTAACTTAATTTGTTAAAATACAATAGTTTAAAAATTATGATTGACCAATTTAAATTTAAATGTATATATTAGCTCCTATGAGAGCAAATGTAAACAAACAAAAACTTCTGATATCAAATAAAAACACCTCTTAACGAGGTAAAAAACTAGTGACGACCGCACCTTCAACATACAAAAGTTCTGATATCAACATTTGTGACGAAAAATTATTACACTCGTCATTAAATAGACTTTCTAATATTTTCTCATTCGGCACGCTGCAATAGAAAATGCCTGTGAAGGGAAAAATGCTGGAATAGTTTGCTAGGAGCTCCCTGGGAGCTGGCGACTGGGAACTGGGAACGGGGAACTCGAAACGTTGCGCAGGTCAGTAGCAATTAAGATAAGCCGCTACAAGTGTGCCGATTATGTCCTGTCAATGTGTCGTCGATAACTCCGGCCGGCGCCCCCGGTGGCCAGGTAAATCAGGTAAGCCAGCGGCACCTGGGGATTCCGTTTCGGAGTCGAGCAGAAACTAAAACTGAAACCTGGATTCGAAAGGTGCAGCTCGCCTCATGGATGCACAGGCACTCAAGCGACGGACAGCGGTAGCCGTTTCGGTTGCGATAAGCTGTCCAAATGGAGGGACATCCTGCTCATTCCATATGCATAATGCATTCATTTGACAGCTCCAAACGCGAGGACCACCGATCGGCGGATCAGCATCTGGTTTATATAGACCACCGCTTCTAATGCCGCCTTTTTTGGTGTGCCGCTCGCTTCCTTTTTTGAGCATTTAGCCCCGCCGCTATTAATTAGAATGTATATGGGCTCGAGTTCCCGCTCCCGTTCCCGTTCCATTCCCTTAATTTTTGGCATTTCAAAAGTTAACAGCACGCGACATTTTAAATATGTATGATGCCCGATGCCCTCGCCCCTGTCCTCTTCCTCCCTCGGACTGTGTGAGTAATTTGGGTGGCATTCCACAAATATTATTGTTCAAATATTTGAAACTTGATTTGCATTTTTCAGCACTCGCCTCGTTTGTCGAAATGGAGGATGTGAATGGGGATGTGGACGTGGCGGACGAAAGACGGAAAATGGGACGCCAGAATAATGGGCATGGGTATGGGAATGGGAATCCCCTGAGCAGCTGTAGCTGTTGAAATTGATGCCTGGTCGCGTTTGGCATTTGTGTCGAATATGCAAGTAGTCCTGGGCATGTTAAGATAATGAACACGATAGCTCACCAGCACGAACGGGGATACTCTCTTATCGGGGAATTTAGTTCGAGTGGTTCTTTTAATTTCGTTTTTTAGCAAACAACGCCTTCCCCAGAAATTACAATTTTTTACATGATCTTTACAAGTTATTTCGCAAAGCCCATTATTAATATCCTGAAAATGATTCCTTGGATTCATTAAGATCTAATAAAAACAAGAGAACGGTGCAGTCGAAAAGCTCTCTTCGAGAAACTTGTATAAAAACAGAAAGTGGATAGAGGCTATATTCTGAAGTATTATTTATTTGTTAAAAAACTTATTAGAGTCCCCAAAGACGGAACTAATAGTTAAATTTATACCCTTGTAGAGGGTATTATAATTTCAGTCAGATGTTTGCAACGCAGTGAAGGAGACGTTTCCGACCACATAAAGTATATATATTCTTGATCAGCACCAATAGCCGAGTCTATCTAGCCATGTCCGTCTGTCCGTTTCTATGCGAACTAGTCCCTCAGTTTTAAAGCTATCGCAATGAAACTTTCCCAAAAGTCTTCTTTCTATTGCAGGTAGTACATATGTCGGAGCGAGCCGGATCGGACCACTATATCTTAAGGCTCCCATAGGAATATTCAAACAAATATAAGAAAATTCATTGTAACTTTGTAGGAAGTAGGCGTTTTGATTCTTGACTTATGTATAAACCAAATTAAAATAAAAACGCTGTATCTGGAATCCCTGGAACAGCACCGAGTGAGCATTACTTTATCTACAAGGGTATATAAGCTTCGGATGGCCGAAGGTAGCTTCCTTTCTTGTTTTTTATAATGTTAATAAATGATTAAATGCATCTGCCAAACTAACAACAAATCTACAGAACCTTCAATTTATTTATTTTGTGTTTTTACACTACACAACCATTCATCTCAATGTGTAAAGTAAAATCTTTTAATAACAGAATTTCATAAAATTCATAACACACATTCATACTATTCCGTTTGACTGTAAGGAATTTCTTTCGCCCTTATTTTATTTTTATTAGATTTATTGATTAGGACACTAGCCACAATAGGTCCTTTGAATATACTTTGCAAATTCCAAGGGAAAATGGCACTCAATAAATTGCATGATGCAGGTGGAAAAGTCCTCTCCCCTTTTTTCCAGTCACATTGTTCGCTCTTTTTAGCCTGACCTCCTGATGTGAGGAAGCTAAATATCATCAATTTTACACCAATAAACCCCGTTTGCGGCATTCCGCTCGACACTAATTTTTTTTTCATTCTCCGCAAGGTCAAAACTTCGCCCAGCCGAAGAGCCTGACAAACTTTCGATTGCACAGCCGTGCAAATTAAATGCACAAAAAAATGTAAAGTGAAAGGTGCCGGCGGCAAACACTATGATGAACTGCCGGGGATTTGGGTAGCAGCTATTGCCATGGAAACTACAGGCAATTTAGGGCTCATTAACCGGGTAAACACAGTGCCCCCTCCGCTTTTCCCTTCCGATGGCCGCGTGCCGCCTGCGATTTTCCGCTTTTCCGCTTTTCCGCATCCCGCCGTGAAAGTTATGAATGGCGGACGGGACAATCAAATCAGCCAACGAGCCAGACACCCGCCAAGCAGCCAAGATGACGACGACAAATTGGAGTAATGAAAATGTTTTCGAAGTATTTGCTTTGAGGTAGACGCGAATGCGCACAGAAGTATGCTAGCTACAAAGGTCTACCCAGCCCCGAAAATCTCCATCTCCTGTCGAAATTCATGGCACTCTCACCTCAAGTGCCTACTTAAGACGGAGTGTTCCTGCACGCAGCGAAAATGTATCCTTACATCGATTCGCTATTGAATTCCGGGGTAGAATTATGTTTGCTTTCTATAGATAATATATTTGTAGAAAATTGTAAAACAACATTTTCTATTGAATTGGGGATAACAACATTCGCTTTACTCAAAAGCCTTTAAAACTTAAAAAAATAATTAAATTCGAGAACAAATATTTCCGTTACCTTTTTTTTATTCGACTGATTAAACTCTTCAATCCGTAAATTTACTCTAAAAATATTTTAGAAGTTTTATAAAATTACTTGAAAGTACTTTGTATCGTTTATAATTTGATCCTCATTCGGTCACCATTAATCTCCACTTTGTATAATGGTCTTCAAGTAATTAATTAATGAGTAAGCTAAATGCTGAAAGTGTTTATATATTGATGATATTTTAAATACATTCAAGGAACCATGATTTCACTCAGATATAATAGATCGGTTTGGAAGAGATATTCACATTTTAGCACTTCTTTCGCCGTGTAACCCCCGAACCACTCCCCCTTTCTCACCACTTCTTATCGCCAGCAATGCCAAATGTTTCAATATGTTTTTATGTTTAGTTCAAACAGCGTGTTGAATGCTTCCAAATCGCTGATAAACAGCGAACAACTCGCGAGGTGAGTTGCGGTGGGTGGGGTGTTTGTGTTTTATGGTTGGGGCTGGCCTTTGGGGATTGGGGGAGGAGGGTCCCAAACCGGAGCTACAAATACAATACAAAACGGGGCAGACGGAAGAGACAAACCCACGAACGGCAACAGGGCAACAAAAGCTACAAAGCTACATGGAGCGAAGATGGAGACGATGAATTTCGGTGTCTTTGAACAGCGCCTTGTCCCAGGGAGATGGAGTCATGGGAACCAACTTTTCACATTCCGGGCGCGCTTCTGTTTTGCAGTCTCCGCTTTGGCCCTGATATTCGGTGCGTTTTTGCCGCTCTCCGCCTGCTCCGCCTGCGGTAAACCCGTGCAGCGTCCAAGTCTCTCGGCGGCACAAAGACAAAGCCATCCGATGGCCAATCTCTGGGGTCCCGGGAAGAGGTGCAGGAGGAGGAGGAGGAGGCGACGAGCGGCAGGACGAGAATCCTAAGACCCCGTATCGGACACGATCCGGCAGCGACTGCCCGGACTGCAGCGCACTGATAAGGCGCTCTTCCTATCCCGCCGGTTCTCCAGAAGAACCAGAACATGTAGAAGAATCAGCCGCATTGGCTGCACAGCGCAAAATTATTTTAGATATCACATAAATTTAAATATCATACCTCCAAAATAGTATTGAAACTAGGTAATCAATAATAACTATTAAATAAATAAACTAAATGTCTTCAAAATTAAAATATCATTCGCTAACTGATCCCTAACTTTTGCACGCCTGAAAAATATATTAGGAAACATATAATAAGATGACAGTAGGATATTATCTAGTTTAACTTGAGTTGTTCAAGTGAGAAAGTGAAAACCTATCCGTTATATTACGTTATATTCTACGTATAGTACATTATCATATGATATATTCTAGTACTGACTTAAGCATTTTAGAAGGTGAGTAAAGGGCAGCTACAAGTATATTATAGATTATTTTTTAATAAGCTTAAACTATATTAAATTTAAGGAGGTTAGGGTTTTCAAAAAATCATGTTGATTGGCTATCTTAAAATTTATAATAAATTACTAAATATTTTAATGAAAGTGTTAAAGTTTTTTACCCAACATAACTATAAAATAGATACTGTAGTATGCAGCTCTGATGTTTTTCTCCGTGTTGGTAATCAAATTGTTGCTTTTCTAGTTTTTCCCAATTGCCAAGCAAATCGCGAAATTTCTTATCTCCTTGCGTCGGCAAAATGGCCAAACGAGCCGGGGAGCAAACAACTGCGATCGTCAGCATTAAATTGTTGCCCCCCGGACCTCTTGGAGACCCACCTCCCATCCCCCGAACCCCACCTCTTGGACCCCCCTCCCCCATTTTTCCAGCTACAAAGATGATGAAGTCTTGCGTCGGCTCGACTGCAAAATGCTTTTAAGTTGTTTTTGTCTCTCTCTGGTGCCTTTCAACTTGCATCGAATGCAGTTGTTAGCAGTTGTGTCTCTGCCTCGGAAACCCTCCCTCAACCCCCCGTCAATATCCCCCGGTCCACACTTCTCCAGATCCTGCTCCCAAATCGAACGATCGAACGGACGAGATCGAGAACGAGTAGCCACCAAATTTGTTTCTTGACAACGGACGAGGAGCTGCAGAAAACACGAGGCATTCATATGACGCACGATCGTTTCGATCCCCGATCCCAAGCCTGGGAAGCGTTTACCCCCGAACCATCTCTCTATATCTCGCGGGAAAGGGGTGCACTATGAGAAAAAGTGAATTAAAAGTTTTTAAAATTGATATTAATATATTGAAAATACTTAGCACCTTCAAGAAATATTACACGTATAAAACACTTTCATTTAAACTAGATATTATCTTATTCTTATTAAAGTCGTATCGTAATTTTGTTAATATCCCTTCTTATATTTCTTAATATCTTTTTCAGATGTGCCAAAGTTCTATTTTATTTATTTAATAGATATTATCTTCTACTGAAATAAGAGGTAAATCTAGTGATGAACTTTAAAGGACAACCACTCCTATAACAGTTATCTTTTCTACTTAATCACCATTCAGCAGTCTCCTAAATCAAATAAAAATTTAATTTTAGTGATACAAAATTTATTTCGGTGTAGTGTAAAGGGGGGGGGATCCTCTTGTGTACGCCGGGGTATGCAACTGCAAGATGCTGATGCCGCTGTTGTTGCTCCTGCCTTTGCGGCAAGTTGCAAAACGCTTTGGACGTTGCGCATTTTTGATGATCAGTTTCGTCTATTCGGGGAAAGAAAAGGAGAAGGAAGCGCTAAATGAAAGAGAGAGGGACTTCGGATGAGGGGTGGAGGGGCCATCAGAATTTTTATAATGATTAGAAAAATTGGTTACTTAGAAGTATTCAAAAAAGCAGTAACATTCCCCTGCCATGCAATAGATTTCCATTATTTTTATTAATAACACTAATATAATATTTTATTGATCAAATTCAAAATATTTTAGGTACACTGTCTTAAATTTTAAAACTGGTTTCCATA